CAAAGCAGACAATATGTTCAGTATAATTTTACTTGCATTCAGTGGCATCACATATGGGGAACAAGAAAGAGCACATGTCCCCAGTTATAGCATTAGAAATTCGACCAAATTTACAAAAAATAATTTTAAATGAATTCCAGAATAAATTTTAAATGAATTCCAGAATAAATTTTAAATGAATTCCAGAATAAATTTTTATCTCTTTTAAATACCCTCTCCCCAGTTTTGCCTGCCAATTACAGGACTAAAAACTACTAACAATTTTTATCCTATTTACCTAAAAATTGAATAGGATGAGTATTATTCTTGCAGTTTGATATAATTGTAGGTTTATTATTTTTTTTAATTATTTTTGTAAATTGATGAAACAACAAGAAATAACAAACAAATATCCTTTAATCAAAAACAATAAACATCTAAGTGTAATCGATATTACATACTTTAGTAACGTATGCTGTTAAATTTCAAAACAAATCAAATTAATGTTTTTACAATGTCGATTTACATTGATTTAAAGTTGTAAAATCCTATTCAATGTAAAATCTAATTAATGAATTAAGTTTTACACAGTCTAAATTTAACAGTCCAAAATAGTTCCCTTTTGTCTCACACATCATTTATATATATATNTATATATATATAAATACAGTAGGGAACCGATTATCCGGTACGATCGGGACCATCGCTGTTCCGGACAACTGATTTTTCCTGTTTTCTGAATAGATACAAAAATCAGTTTTTTTATAGTTAAACCCAACTAAAAAAAAATATATCTGGAAATAATCTTAAAAAGAAGAAAACACGATGAAGTAATACACTAATGATTATTTCCAAAATGATGGTAAGGTAAGCATCTTTAAAAAGGAATGAAAAATGTTGAAATCTCATGAGGAAAAAAAATTTTTTTTTGAAAAATGGCGGGAAAATTTATCGAATTTCGTTCCGGTTTTCAGGCTTTCCGGACAACGGGTTCTGTACTGTATATATGTATCCATATATCTCCATATATATNTTTACAAACTTTTGACATTGTGATTACTGCACAATTCCAATTTTGTATAAATAATCAAATATTTACCAACAAATATATATATATATAATCAGGGGGTACAAAATCTGAGTTTGTTGTCAGTGACTAACCACACCTTTGTTTGTATTAGCAAGGTTTGGTACTTTACACCTGAATGCATAAGCCAGCCCTTTAGCAAGTATTTGTGCTAACCTAAGTAAAAGCATATGTTTAAACTCCAGAAAGGTTCCTGAATAAGGGCCTAAGTTGCTTTTCTTCAAAAAAAATTTAAAAATAATAAATAAATTAACTACAGAATGCTCTGGAGAAAAAAAGCTTTCTCTAAATATATACACTTTTCAAGTGCTAAGCAAAATGATTGATTTGAAATTTTCTAACTTAAGCATTTACTTATGTCCAGTACAGTAAATGGACCAGAATGGCTTCCTCATGCTAAGGGACGTAAGCAAAAGATTACGTTAAATTGTTTCTGAAACAATTAAAACAGACTTGCTTACCTCAAATAAATAAATAAAATAAAAATATATAAATAAATTTCATTGATCAACTTTGAGTTTCAGTTACTCTAAGTACATCATAATTAAACAGATTTTATTAGGTTACTAAGTTCAAATACATGATTATAAATTAACCTAAAAGAATATTTGGATGTTTTCTATTTATTTTATACAGAAAAATTGAAATAAAAGATGGAAATAGATAAAAACAAATGTAATGAAAAGAAAAGCAGTGGTGTCTGATGTAAATAATGTCAGACAAAAAAATAGTTATTAATTTACAATAAAAATATTTATTATTTTAAAAATACAAATAGACTACACAAATAAGACTTAGAATTTTGCTTTAAACAGAAAAAATAATTTTACGAAGAAAAATCCTAGTAGCAGAATACAATTATGTATTTAGGTATCGGACATAAAATATAAAAAGTGCATTTAGATGATTTTTTTTGTAAATCAAAATGTAAAATGTTTCTGTTTTCTGTGAAATAACCTGTTTTGTTACAGTTTACTTTAATTATTATTTATTCCATTTTCTATTGTAAGTGTTTTTTTTTTTAAAAGAAAAGAAAACTGTACTTGTTTGAGACTCACTTAACCGTGGCTAAAAATTTTAAATGATGTCGTCCTTAATTTAACAGTCAACATACTAATTGAAAACATAGTAATACATACTAATTAACATGCTAATTGAAAACAGATAAAAGTTAAAAGTCATTATTTACAAAAGTCATTATAAGCAAGCAACATTTACAAACTTTCGACATTGTGTTTTGACTACGCAATTGAAATTTAAAATCAAAAATCAAATATTTACCACTTAAACAGTAAAATTAAATATTAACATATAATTGGTTCATAAAACAGCCTTTTTTTTAAATAAAATATGTTATAAAAGGTAAAAATGCAATCGAGAAAATTAGCATGAATGCAATAATTCACTCATTCCTTAAGCCTGAATTCAGCATGGAATCTATCTCTCAGTTACAGATCAAAACAGGTTTTATGAGAGCAACTCCAGGTTAGATTACAAAATATCATTTCACCATGAACATAACTGGGTGTCAGTTGGACCCAGAGTTAACTAACTTTAATCTGAAGAGTTCCCCAGTTTGAGTAACTGCTGATGAGCACTATGCGAATTTTTATTTATTTATGTTTTCAAAAATAACTCTTTTGATGTTCAGATGCTTTTTTTTCATGTTCAGTGTGGGCAATTTATTACTAGATGTTAACTATAATTAATGCTCATTAATATAATCAAAATAAAATTTTCCTATGTTAATATCTTTTATTTTTCTCAAATTATTATTAGCAGTCATTGCTGCACATAAATAATTTTATGTTCGGAAAAAAAATTAGTGGATAGTACAGAGTGCGGCCACAAGAATAATACAAATTTTGATCTGAGGTAACATCTAACCTACACAACAACCTGCATCAAATAACTTCCGTGCAAATCAATAAATTTCAGAATTTTATAACCATAAAATAAGCTATTGAACACTTGAAGAAAATAGAATAATTTGAGAGAGATTAATTGGTTAAAACTATATGAAATTAAACTGCCCATCTTTAGTAGACTTCTTTTTTAATATATGGCTTGGCTACTTTATGACATCTGGTGCATATTTCCATTTATAATTACTTAAATATAATTAAATTTTTAAATGTATGATTTTTTAAAAGATTTGGAATATTTTTTCAGATTATGACATTTGCCTTTTTAAAAAACTTATCTTTTTCACCATATCCCCGAAGGTGATTCTCTGTATCATTGGCAGATGGCAGCACAATAATAGTCACTTATAACTTCTTATGAATAATAGAAATGTGTTGATTTACACTGATCTGAGCTGAGAAGTTTATTTTATACCATTTCATTTACGTTTTTTAAGAAAGAAAATTCTTCTTAATGGTTTAAGTTATCGATATGTTATGAAGGGAAAAAATATGCAAATAAGGCGAAAGAGAATGATGTTAGCATAATCCCCTAGATCATTGTGCGAAATAAAAGTATTTTTAATTGGATTTCAATATTTCTATGGTTGTGTACGGCTTCATGATATATATAATAATAAAATATCTAAATTTATAATAATAAAACTCAGATCCTTCTGCTCATCAATACAAGTCACAAGTCAATTAAAAAAAAGAAACTTAACAGATTTTTCACTTATCCAGTAAAAAAGGGAATCAAATTTAATTGCTCAATGCAATCTTTTATTTTCAACATCAAACTTATTTTAAAAATAGTAACAAAAATTGAAAATGAACACTTTTGATAAGGCTATAAATCTCCCACTGGAGTGCAAGTTAACAGCGGGTTAAGAGACCTGCAGTTATGAAATAGACGGTCAAAAAGTAAAGAATACACTTTTTGACTCGTGGTCAATATTTCCAAACCGGTTTCTGAACTGGGTGTTTTGCGTTTGGTCAGTGTCAATGGTGAATAAAAAGGTTAATTTCTGCAAACTTTTAAGAGAAAAAGGAGAAACAGTTTCAGAAATATCATCTCTGGAATGCAAGAAACATTTACAAACTTTTGACATTGTGATTACTGCACAATTCCAATTTTGTATAAATAATCAAATATTTACCAACAAAACAGTAAAATTAAATGTTAACATAGTTGGTTCGCAAAAGAACCTTTTTTTAAATAAAATATGTTATACAAGGTTAAAATGCAATCCAGGAAATTAGCCTCAATGCAACAATTTGTCGACAAACATTGCTGTTAGCGATTGTAAGAAAATGAGTGATTGGTAGGCTTTGCTGAGAAAATATAATTCAAAATTTCATAGGAAAAAGAGTACAAAAACTTTCAGAAAACGAGTGAAATACAAAATTTATTACTAAATTATAACAAACTAGTTTTTAGAGAATTTCATAAAGTTCAAAATACTAAAACATTTTGAATCATTTTGTGAGAAAAAAAAACATTAAACAAACTTAAACAATAAATGGATTTGGCCCATGAAATAGAAGAAAAAAATCTACAAAAGCAAGTATCCTAGCCCCTTCTTCCACATCGACCATAATTTTGCCTTTCCCAAAGTGTAAGTCCCATAATCTCGAAAGAAGTCAAAGGTTTCTCCATTCATTTAGCAATCATGGGAGAGCTTCATGTGGTATTCTAGTTTAATAGGAAGCAAATTTTAATGCAAGCAAAGTACTGCTCAGTTGATGATATTTGAATTGTTTGGCGATAAATTTTTGTCTTAAAAAAGTGAATATGGTAAAATAATTTAAATTAAGAAAACAATCAGTTTTTTTTAAATTCCCTGATTTTTCCAGGTTTTTTACAGTATAAAAAATTCCCTTATAATTACAGGTTTACAAGGTTTTCCAGGTGGGATGCCACTCTGATAAAATATGATCTTCCAAATCTTAATGCTAATTAGTTTTTAAGTACAAAAACGTTTTGCTATAATTATAATCATAAACACAAGCATATAAGCAATATTTACCTTCTTTGGTTCTCGTTCTTCAAATAAAATTGGGCTGACTCTAAATGAGAGAAAATTAAATCTGTATTAAAGATTTACAGCAACTTACGAAAAGAAACAAAAATAGTTTTTTGAAGAAAATACATTAAAAAAAATTTATAAAACAAATTTATGGATAGTTCTTTTTCTTTCTTAAATTGCAAAGATATCAAGTACTGATTAGTTTTAAGGTTAATAAATCTTTATTAAATTATTTCAAGCAGCATAATTTATGCACATTTAAAATAAAATTTATATATTTTTGTAGAACGTTTGCAATATGAAGGATTGGTTCATAATGATGAAATTTAATCAATATGCTTACGTCTTTTATGTATCAACGCAGTTAAATATTTTAAAAAATACACACAAATAAAAAAAAATTAATAATGAAAAGCGAATTATATCATACTAAAAATCATAGCATTCATAACTTCAAAGCTACAAAACATACTTAATTTATCTATACAAGGGGGAAATACTAGCTTTTATACAAATGTATATTGATAATAAATATATAAAATCTGCAAATTACTACTAGTTTTTGTATTCCTTTAAAAAATATTCCACTTTTTGTTTTTAGTTGTCATCAAACTGGTATAAAAAAATTTGAAATCTGTTGCCATGTTAATTCCTTAATCAAAACTTACTAAACATAGCAAACTATCCTAATTATAGCTTTTTACTTTATAGATTTCAAAGGTCTTTTATTTAAAAAAAAAAAGAAATATTTTAAAATGAATTAAACCACTGATTTTAATCATTTGATTTAATCCATTGGCAGTAAAACAAATGGGCAAAATTGGAAAAATGTTTCTCCCTTATACACTATTCCTCTACCTATTAACATGAAAAAACCGGTTTTGCTATGCAGAAAAAACTATAGGTTAAAATTAGACTTTTTATGTGTAGAACCATCAGACGGTTAAACAGTAATCACACAGGTATTAAATATGCAAACAAAAAAAACTAAAATGCATAATGAGGAATAATAATATTCCTATGGAATTCATTTCATGATTCTGTTCATTTCAGTGCGTGATTTGATATTTATTAGATTGCAATTTAGTTATGAAACTTGTAGATATGCATCCCAGCTGTGTATTAAAAAGTAATTACTAAATATTATGATAAAAAAAACAATATGAATTTACATCAGAATACTATGTTAAAAAAGCTGTAGCTTAAAAATAACATACATAATTTCTCAAATATAAACGACCTTAAAGTAAAAAGTACTGATTTCAAGTTTCTTTGTTACTTTATGACCTTCTTTAAATAGCACTTTTAGATACTTTAGTACTTTTAGCTTTGTCATTTTCTCACAGGTGCATAACGAAGGGTTACTGCGAGTATAAGATTTATTACCTTTTTGATCCATCACTACTTGCACTTTTTTCATTTTGAGCATCGATTTCATTATGAGGAGTACCATCACCAAGTTCCTAAAAAGAAAAATTTTAATGCCAAAGATCCAATATGAAGAAATAATTCCAACAGATTCCATATGTACAGCAAAGACAAATTTGGATAATAAAATAATGACTGAAGAATGTGCAATAAAGTCTTAAATCTATACCTGAAATTTTATTAAAATACTGAATCAATTTAGTTTTCATTAATTTTGAAAAAGAAACAACTAAGTAAGAAACAGTAAGCTTAAACAATTTATCCAACTTTAAGAAATATAATTTCAAGGGATATACTGTGTAACTGACAAGCAAGTTTTGGTACCTGCATGATACCAGGACCTGGTTTTAATTCTGATTACTCCACCAATTATGCCTTATGAGCAGTACTGTGTAACATTTAGTTTCAACACAAACATTTTCAAATTTTTACTTAACTTCAAACAATTAAAGAAGTAATTATATCTTTCAAAAGTCATGTAGTACATCAGTTTCTTAATAATCTAAAGTTGAAGTAACTCGTTTAGGAACACTATATTTTGCTATTATGCAACATTTTTATATTGATTGACTTAATAAAGAAAAATGAAGATGTAATAAGACACAATGAAAATAAAATAATTCCCAGCAGTATCTAAGAGTGAAAAAACAACTTATTTTGAATTGTTAAATTTTATTCTAAACAAATAAAAAAAATAAGCACAAAAGGGATAAATAGTAACACTACAACTTTAATGCATGAAAAAAATTATTTTAAAAGTTGTCACGATTTTGTTATTTTTTATAGTTAACTTAAACCAGGGTTGGCAAGTTTTTTTACATGTATCAGTTTTAATCATGGATAAAACAGTCATGATAAAATCTAAACCTAAGAAATTGCATTTATCCATTAATATAATTACTAATGTTTTAAATGGCACTTTACGCATAGTATTTACAAACAAATATTAATTATACTACTTTTTATAAAATTTAATATATATTGAAAATGCTAACAAAAAAAACCTTTAATAGCATAAATATAGAACCACTATATAGACTCACTTTAAATATAGAGAAAGTTCTTTTGGAAGTTCTATAGTTGAAAAGTTGCTCTAGCTTCAAAAAGGATATTTAAATAAAAGAAAAAGTACTTTAAACATTCTGTTAATAATTATTTTATATAAAAAGACATGGAAGTATTTAATTACTAGCAATGCAGATTTATTAGAATACGATTTCATAACATAAAAATTTATGCATTTTTTCTTTAGACAATGCTGTTTGTAAATAAATTCCTTGTTATATTTTGGGTTTTAAATGGTTGTAATACTGTAAGATTAACAAAAAAAATTACAATTTATAAAAACCAAATAAAATATTTCTTTTTTAGTGATAAAAAAAATAAAATAACAATTGTACTAAACATTTTAGTCCATTGCATCGATTTAAAAAAATTTCTTGAATGGGTGAGAGTTCATGAATAAAATAAAACACTACAAGAAAATAAAGTGAAATTTTTTTCTTCTGCTCAAAACTATGATTTTTATTTCAATATAATTAAATATTATAAAAAAAAAATCAATATATTAGCATATATTCATACAAATTTATATTATTAGAGTATATCATATACTTGTGTACATTTATAAATTAGCTTATATCCAAATAAATATATTTATCCTGATAGAGTCATTCAATAAGAAATAATGTCTTGTGCATATTACATTATTTATATAGAATGATGCTTAAGGCATTTATAATGAAATGTATAAATACATTCATTTCCCTAACTGCAAACGTAAAAAATGGGTACTTCTTGTAGTAATTTTATATTTCAGAAAAGAAAAAAAACATGAATTAAATCAGATAAATTGCATCAATTTAGAATTTTCAGCACCTTCAAATAATTAAATGCTATATGAAACATGCGAGAATACTGGAACAGGAAATAAAGTTTATCTATGTAAGAAACTAATGAATCGTAACGAATTTACTTTGCTGAAATTAGGAAGCACAGTTTATCTTATTTAAAAAAAAATTTCAAAATTCTAAAATTTATAAATTGAGAATACAAAATACATGGTTTTGAAAAGAAAACATTTGCATAAATATAATGCCATGTCTACCAAACTATTGGTTTCTAAAACACATAGTAAAAAGTAATATGAACAGAAAGGTGTCTTAATTTTTTACAAAAATCTGGTAATTTCCCAAAAATAGCCGAAAAAAATATTAAATAAAAAATAACGAACTTAAAGAAACTAGGAGAGCATCATCACATTTACATATTTTTTTAAATCTTACTACAAGTGAGATATTAGTTTCGAGAAATTAATTTTTTAATAAAATCATTTCTTGCACTCTGCTTGACAGATATTTAAAGAAGGGCTAAACAGTAGAAGTAAACAAGTAAAAAAATAAAATGCTTAAACATAAGAAAAGTGCTCATGATAAGAAAATAAAAAAATTTTAAATTACTTATAATTACAAAATTGAAAGAAAAAGTTTCACTTTTTTTAACTAGAATACTTACAAAGTAAACTTTTATAAAAGAAAATTTTTAAAAATCTATAACGTGTTACACATAGAACAATAAATGCTTTACTCAGCACAAACTAAATTAATCTGATGAAATTACAGTCTACACAAATCATTAAACCAGTTACACAATAAATAATCGAAATAAAAAATAAAAATACTTACCCCATCGTTATCATGACTTTGCTCTGAATTATCATTATCTTGATCAATATTTCTAAATAGAAAAAGAATTACTCAAAATTATTTTAAGCAATTCAAATCAAAGTTTTTTTAAACAATCATAATAAATAATAATTTCATAAATAACGTTTTGAAAATAAAATCCAATTAGTACAGATCAACTTAGTGACTAGGTTTAATTAGTATCAAACATAACAAATACCAATTTTTCTTAATTCATAGTTAAAATAGATTTTTTATTAAAAATATCACAACCAAAAATTTAATACAAGGGTCTTAAATTAGGCGTCAAATACAAACATGACATGAATGTATGATAAATCATTAAAACTGGAAATTAAAATAGAAAAGGGATTCTGAAAAATATAGAGTTCAAATTTGATATAAACTGATAAATGAATTAGTGTCGTCTAATGAAAATCTTTATTAACACAAAAAAAATTATAAAGTAAGCCTATAGTAGCATAAAAATAGACTTTTGGAATAATTAAGAATTTGAAAAAAAGAATCAATTGTACAAAGCTGATTATTAATTAATTTAATCTCATTGCAAATTTTAATAAAACCATGGTTCTATTAAAATTTGATTTTATGAATCAAATTTTAATAAAACCATTAAAATCTTTCAAGCAACAAGAAAAAATATATTTAACCATTCAAACTATTCTGAATAATTTTTATTCCCCATAACTTACATTAATAAGAACCAAAAGATAAGTCTTAGAGGAAACTTTGAAAAAAAGGATGAATGCTGATTCATAAAATAATTTTACTTTATACCGCAACAAACATTTTCTAAACTATGCAATTTAATTTAATTAAGTGCAAAAATTCATAATTTGAATATAAACATAATTAAAAAATTTATTTCAATTAATTTATTTATATCAGTAAATACTAAGCTATTTCAAAAATTTTATTCTTTACTTTAATTTCTTTTACTTTTATGAGAGTGATACAAACAGAAAACAAAAACTTGTTTTCCCATGTCAGTTGACACATTTATACAAACCGGTTTCTATCATCATCCTTTCCATCAGAGCCTTCATTGCCATCACTTTGATTATCATCATTTCTTGAGTGCCTTTTAGGGCGTGCTCCAGAAACATTCATTTTTTTACTAAATGAAGCAAAAATCTCCATTAATTTAAATATTAACTTAATTTTTAATTTCAATGTAAATTACATTTAATGAAAATTATATGTTTTTACAATATGCATAAATTAAAATAAACAAACAACAGCAATCTGATTCATTAAAATAAAAGTGAAAAAATAAACATAAAATGTTTAATTTTTCAAGCTTATTTAATTTACACTAAAATAAATTTTTCCTGAAAAAGAGATTTTACAAGTTACTTTCATAAATTATGATGAAAGTTAGGGGGAAACTATAACAAATAATTGAGTTATTAGTTATAATAACTTTGCACTATACAATTTTTTTAGAGAATTCATTTAAATTTAAAATATCAATGTAAATAAAACAAATTATTTTATTTATTTTCATCAAATAAAATAAAAATGAGTAAAAGCAATACAGCCATGCAATTGAACAAAAATTTTTTAAGTGTTTCATGGTAGATTTCGAAAAAAGTAACTTGACAACTTTTCCCCCCTGTAATACTATCAATGCTAGAAATTGAACTTCAGAAAACTGAGGGGAAAAATTGATTATTGAAAAAAATTTATTTTGCTATGTTTAGCTTATACAAATATGTGAAATACATGAAAATCTGAATTACCAATTTTTGGGACTTATGTTGATTTTCTATTGCATGGCAGAAAAAGTAACTTGTCATACTAATAGTACAACTTTCTCTACAGCGAAAAAAAGAAAACAAAAATTTTTCTGTTTAAGAGTTACGCTATACTACATGAGAAAACTATCATGGCAAATTCTGTTTCACCTAAATTAGTAATTTAAATTAAAAAGTATAGAAAAAATGTGAGTTCAAATAAATCAAAAGTAAACCATGAAGCTTCAAATGCTTTTTTTTTTTTTAAAATATCAAAATGCAAACAAATTATGGAAGGATTAATCAGGGTTACATAGTCGTGAATTTGAACTCACTTATTTACATGCTTTAAATTTTAAATTACTAATTATAGGTGAAACAGAATTTGCCATGAAGTATTTGCTATGATTCTCCCCCAGAATAGCACCATCTTATTGTATGTATTAAAAAATTTGCAATTAAGATTATTAATTAAATAAAATATTAATTCTTATGTAGTTACTTTGGTTGAGACAAATTATAATCGAACAATAACCAAAATAAAAATAGAAATTTAACGATATATTTCATTTAGTTATCATGAGTAGCTAAATATAAACTTATTAATATGATTCTCTAACAAAAGTTGCAAAATGAATGAAAGAACTATCATTTGTTAGAGTAGGAAGACCCCAATGAAGGTTACTGAAAGGGATCTTATCATAAAAGTAAAAAATTTAAAACCAGTTTGTAAAAGTTGGAATGTCTGAAAAAACTACTAGAGAAAGACAAAGTCTGTCCCATCTGAAACAATTGAACCATTGAATAAGAAAAAAAGGACTTGTTACAGTGATTAAAATATTATTACAGTTATCTAATTGTCAGCTTTAAAAATTTATCCAATAATTCTATGTTACGCACTGCATTTAATCATTGTAGAAAACATTTATACCCTGTTGAAAATTAGAGTAGAACCATTTATAGCAGAGCAATTGTGAACTAAAACTGTTTAAGTGCATGAAAATTTGGAAGAACCTAAAATTTTTAGCACATTTTGTTGGCCCTAAGCAATTAGATGAGACATGCATTTATTTCTTAGTATTATTTCCATCTTTTAGGGAAAAATTTTAACTTTTGTGTCTTTTAACACCTATACTTTTATCCAGTATCTTATTTATCATTAAAAAAAATTATTTTGCAAATAAAACAAACACAAATAATATTGGTAATTAAAAGGAATCCATGAAATCTTTTATGAACAACTACAATTATTCAATACTTTGTACAATAGTTCTTAAATTTTATTTCATTGAAATCATTTTATTCAAATTTTAAAAATTTCTTGAAATAAACCATCTAAAGATTTTAATTAAAAAAAAAATTTTTGGAAGTATAAAAAGAAAAAAACAGAAAAATTCTGCAGTTTTAGAAAATTATTTGAGAGGCACATGTTCTGAATGCCCTGTTCCCCACAATGCCTGGGTTTGCAACTAACTACAAAGCAAAGAATTTTTAGCTTAACAGCTAGGATAATACTATTATTTAAAAATAAATTATTGATATTTAGACCAGATATTGCAGGATAGGGAAGATAAATCAATATATCTTTCAAGCATTTAGATCATGGGCTCCTAGCCTTTGTGATTTATCACACACTTTGCAAGTATTACTTTTGCAAGTACTAATATTTAAGAATGTAAAAGTATTACTTTTACATTCTTTATTTTTGATTTGGTACACTTTTAATCATAGTGTTAAGTTATGGAAAATTCCTATCAGCCAACAATTTTTTATTTTAAGTTCTTTTTCGAATTTTTTTTAATAAAAGTTGCCGTTACATATGAAAAAAATTTTTATATATATATATATATAATAGCTTAAAATAACTTTTAAACTTCTTAACATGAAACATTTTTTGTGCAAACAGCAAGCAAAGGGTAACTCAAACCCTAATATAGATAAGTTTTTTCTCTACAAATTGCAGGATTAATATCTGATTTACTGACTAGTAATTCATGGAGAATTAAATATGTACTGATTTCTCAATCCAAAAAAATATGATTATCAATTTTTCAGTAAAATTCAATATTTAAAAGCTTTTTTTTTTTGTAAGTTTTTGCATATCCTATAGAAAGTCCTAACACCTTCATAGAAGTTTTCATGACCCACTAGGAGGCAATAGCAGTCATGTTAAGAATTTATTCACAGAAATAAATAAAAATGTCATTAAAAAGCAATTTATTCTTCTTTCTTTTATGATATATTTCTTCTGTAGTTTCAAAACTACATTCAGTATACAGTGTTCTCCTTAAGCGTATTTAAAAAGTGGCCTGCCCTGCCTGCCTTTAAATCATTATAAACACACATTTTTTTTTTGTTTTTTTTTTGTAAAAAACAAAAGCCACCATCTCCTAAAAGCACTGCCTTTTTACTTGTATTACATTTTTTTTAAAAATTAATTAACAGTTATAATTCACATAAATAATAATTACACACTGCTAAAATTATTTGTGTTAATAGGTTTGTTCTGATTACTATGTATTACAAATATTTACTTAGTTAGGATTATTTTCAACTGGTTACATTTTAATAAATCTCTTTTTTAAAGAGAAGAGACATATTAATAATTTTAGAATTGCTTTTTAAAAAACTTTTTTTTAAAAAAATGCACCTGTAAATTTTCCTTTTCTTATAATTTTCAGTTTAAATTGTAGAAAAAAGCTATCAAGTTGTTCATCAATTAATTTTTTTTAGTTTACTTTTTTATTTATTCTTTTTTTTAAAAAACTTTCGGTTATTCTTTTTATGCACAGAGATTGTAGTTTATAAAAAAATAATTAAAGGCAGCTAAAAGACAAATTTTTTTCTTATTTTGATATTGAGTGAGAATTACTTTCTTAAATAAACATGTAAAATATTATAAGAGGGAATTTAAAAAATTTTGAGGATTAAATTCAGTTATTACATAAAAAAACACATTTTGATAATTTTTTATGGTGTTATGTGAGTGTACTTTCAAAACTCAAAGTGCCTTTTTCTGTGAGGAAGTACCCAGCCCTTTTTTATGCATATGGAACACTCTGTAGTATATATTTATTTGAAACTATTCTTATATATAGTATACATGATTAACTTATACATTATATAATAGATAACTAAAAAATTAACCTTTGATTTTTGTCACTTCATCAGGTATATATTTTTTATTTTTCCTCAAATATATCTAAAAATAAAGGTTTAGAGAAGTGTTTATTTTTGCTGACAAATGAAAAAAAAAATTCTTAAAACCTGTTTAACTTATATTAGCTGCAGCATTTACAATTAATGCAAACCGAATCGACAACCAAAATACCATGACAGGTGGAGTTAAATTATCTAAAATTAAACATAATATACATAAACAATGTCTATTGCAGATAAATGAAATTTACTATAGAAAAAAGTTACAAATTAAGATGGTGATACCATTGAAATAAAACTCTTCATTCGCTATACTATATTTGCTTTGTTATTTAGTGGCAATAGGAAAGTTTAAATAACAAATAAAATACAGATTTCTTTCAAGTGTTACTAAATACATTAGAGATCTTTTTTTCTTTTAAAATTATGTCAAATATTTTTTAAATAATGATATTGTTCCTCCACTAGTCTCTAATACCAAATGAATAATAAACAACGCGCTATCTTAAGAAATAATGTAAAAAGCTATGGGTAAAAAGTGACTTTTACTCATAGTTAAAGCATATAAAAAATTAAATTTTTTTCAAAAAGTTGACAACTTTTTGTGCTGACAATAAATAGATTAAAATTTACTTACTTCATCAAAGCCCAAACAACTTGCGAACTTACCTAAATTATATTTAATCAGAACTTTTTTTCAAAAAACTCTCTATAACAATACACGAGTTTAAACGGCAAATGAGGTCATCATTAATTATTCGTAACTACATATGTTGATTCCCTAAAATTGAAGAGAGCAGAAAATTAGGAAATTAAAAAGACATCTTTAACAAAAACTTTAATTAAAATAAGCGAAGTAGCATATCAAAATATTTATTGGAAATATGTTGTTAATGAAAAATAAAACTCGCCAGTAGGCATGATTTTCTTTTAGAGATATAAAAGGAATTTTTTCTTTTGATTTTAAACATAAATATCACTCAAATACTGGTTAATCAATTATTTTCCGACCAATACTAGCAGATACTATAAAAACATTTTAATTCTACTTACAATTTACAATTCATCTCGTTTATAGAATAACATAAAGTTAGAAACAATCGCGCATCAAACATAACATGATTTGTTGTTTCGGTGTTTGTAAAACTTGCTTTCTTCAAGTTGCCATAGAAACAGACATTAAGTTTCAGTTGCCACTTTCAGCGAGTGAAAACATAAATGAGAGCAACTTTATTCGAATTTTAAGAACTTCTACTTCAATATCGAATAGAAAATAAAAATTCCACATTAAATGTAACACTTTATTCTTCTTTAGGCTTCTATAAAATTCTTTATAGAATCCATTTCCAATTGTTTATACAAAACCGAGATCATTCAAGTTATAGCAGCGCTGGAAGTGCAGACACGCATATGATGCTGTCGACGTGAAAGATTTCCAACTACTAGTCGTGATCTGGTTCAGCCCACTTTTCTGAGAGATCCTTTGAGATGACGTGCATATATATGCATATCTAAGTTTTTAATTTCGCTTTTGTTTCCTTTTCTTTCTATTTCATATTTTTTCTTAATATCACCAAAAAAAAATCTCATTTATTTTTAATTTCACGCGACATTATTTGCAATAATTCATTTTCTTATCTGGAAAGGTGGGAAAATTATACAATTATCCTGATCTAGATAATCTTGAGATTTTAACCTCCTTTTATTTAAGTACATTTTTTTTAATAAAATCTTTTGAAGATAGAGTGGAGATTTTTTTTATTAGTAGTATTAGTTTAATGTCGTTTGAGAAACAAAAATTAACTATTCATATTACTAGAATGATTTCAATTACACCTTAAAAATTGTTTGATTATCTTTTAAGCATTTAGTATCAGATTTTCTATAATAAAATATTATACAATCGAATCATGTTTTAGCGAGTACTAAGGGACTGAAACAATCACAGTGGAATAATGAAAATTCGCATTTTCGATATTATGAATTTCTATATTAACCAAAATTATTCTATTAAATAGGAATTTTCATATTAAAAAAATAATAAATACTTAACAGTTTTTTTCATATTTGTACTCTACATTTAGGAAAATACTTATGTCAATATTTAAAAAGTTCACCAAAGTTATTAAATTAAAACAAACAATAAATTTAGTAAAATTACTATCAGATAAATATATAATCGTATTTTTTTTCTGTGCAAATGATTTAGAACTTCTAGGTATTACAAATTATGTACATGTTCAAAGTATCCGAAAAATTTTCTTGTGCCTTAAAATATCTCTAGACAGTTTCCAAACTGGACAAGGTTCGTGAAACCGTATAAATTAAAAAACAACGCTTCATTCTTTGTGTATTTTAGAGAAAGGTAAAAGTGCCAATCAGGAAAGAAAAGAGAATTGTAGCTTATTTTCGCTTTCGTTAAATCGGATAATCCATTTCGTAATATCGGTATTTTAATTACATTGTTTCGATGGAAATTCATTTGGGGGTTCAAAAAATATTCATCACTTTGAAATTTTCGCTATTTCAGATTTCGCCAAAATAAGATTTGAATGTATTGCTAATTCTGAATTTTACGTCTTTTATGTTACAAGAATAAAAGATATACATAAATAACAATGTAAAAATTTGAAATTCTTCAAAAGATTAAAAAGTAAGCTTATTATACGATTCTGAGTAATTGTAAAAGTTCTGATAAATGTATTTTTTTATCATACGAAAAATTAAAAAACAAATAAGCAAAGGTCCAGAAAAAAATATGGACATATATTGTGAGCTAAAATAATAAATGATATTAAAAATATATCACCCCAAATAAACTTTTAATCTCATGATTACAAACACAAATCTTTCAATGAATAAATGTAATTCCTTTCTCTCAGATTTTGAAATCTTAATCCTCAAATTATGGAGAGCGGAGTTATTGCTACATGGAAAATATGGTTCGTATTGTTTAGTCAGAAAACAAATCGAAAGTTTGCTCTCGTTTGCTAATTTTACTTTCCTGAATTTTTAATTATATCACTAGAATTTACTTAAAAAACGAAAAAAAGTTAACAAATGTTTTATAAAGCTTATTAAATTCATATGCATTTGATAAGCTTTATTAACCCTTAACAGCTACCCACCTAATTGTATTTTATACTCAACTCATTTTAACCTGTGAGTAACTATTGAGGATTAAACAACTACCAACTATCTTTAAAAACGAAACTAACTTCGAATATATAAATTCGATAAAAAGAAACCTACAAGATCAATAATTTTCCCCATAGTACATCAAAGATTCTTCATATATTATCCCTAAATAATATTTTTTTCCCTCTAATTTCCAAAAGTATATAATCTTCAATTTAACGAAAAACTTCACATTATGTAAGTAACTAATGAACTATTCGTTACGCTTCGGAATTTTGTTTTTTTCATTTATAGTTTTTGATTAATAAAAATGATATACCTCCACTTTTAAAAGATTTTTGTTTAATAATCCCTTTATTTACTTTTTAAAAAAATTTAAAAAAAAAAAGAAATTTTATTGATACTATACTGACTGATAAATTTTTTTAAATAAATCGGATTGAAAAATTATTGAGCTCACCACTTATGAGACGGATCCTCTTCATTTATACACACATTTTGTTCACAGTTTTATTTCACGAGCACTTTTAAATAAAATGTGTTCCTTAATATATATATTTTAGAATCTTAGTCAAAAATGATGATTTGACTATTGAAGGATATGAGATTAAAAATATTCAAACCAATTTTATTTCAGTATGAAATATTTCTAGCAGTGGCATTTCATCTCATGCTTTCAATAGTCTCCGATAATCAGAAAGGTTTTCAACCTCGATTTTCTCAATAGTGATTTAATAGATTTCGTAAAAGCTTTTTTCAAGCTTTCTATATTAATTTACAACCATTTTGTTTCACTTATTTATAATTATTATTTTTTTAAATTTTTGTCGGCGAATACAACAAGGCATATTAGTACAGTTTTTGGACACATTAATTGTAATTTATAATTTGAGCAAACTTTGATAACTAACTTTAAGAGCCTTTATGGCTTAGAGGATAGACAGCTCACCTTCGACCTATGGCTGGTTGATACGAATTCTGCAACCGGCTCGCACCGACTACAGTACTGACTCAAAAGCATTCTCAGTGGTAGACGTTGCCGTTTAGGCTAACCGTGGTAGGTTTCCGTGGTTTTCCTCTCCATGTTACACAAATATAGGTTACTTCCATCAAACAAATCATACACGAAGGATAATTTCTTCCAATACTAGATCCAGGAGTTCCTTGTCTTCTGGATTGGATTCAAAATTAAAAGACTGTGGAGTTGAGCATTAGTAGCCAAAATTGTGTCAACTGTTTAACGATGGTTATGAAATAAAAGATATTTTGTATAGAAAGTATAAATGGCAATTTTTTTTTTTTTTAGAAACACCATCATCAGCACACAAACAAGCAAACAAAAAGCAAATGTTTCATTTTATTTGCTAAGCAAGAAATCCCCATTAATGTAAAATATTTAACCTTTTGTTAAAAAAAATATATTAATAACAATTCATTCCTTTAAATAAATGAAAAAGATGTGGATAAAAAAATAAATAAATGGAATTAATAACTGTAAATAAATAATCTAACAAATGCTTTTGAATTCTATTTGTTTAAACATCTACCTAATGCTTTCCTAAAATAAAGCGGTCTTAACTGATTATAATATTCATAGTTATGTGCTTCACTTATTATTCTCACATGAATATTCCGGCTTATGAAGAGTTTAATGATCCGAAACTGAATAAAGGCGGTCAAGGGGTTTCACTAATTATTTTCGAAAGAAATATATGCTGATGATAGATTTCAAAATGAAAAAGTAGATTGCTTGTTAGGGGTCTATATGTCTTAAAAAATGTCAATTCGTAATCATTGCTACACTTTTGTAATCTTCTGCTTATGGGGCGTGTTTTGAGATTTTAGGTACTTTTTTTTTAATTTTTAAGATTATGGAGCGCTTTTTTCTGTCAGGACATTTGTTTTATGAATTCCAGATTTTTTTAAATTTATTTTTTATTTAGATTTATTTATTGATTTCAAACCTTCATTCAATTTTTTTTATGTGTACTAGGTGTTTTTTAACATCAAATTCTCCTAATATTTTCTCAGCTTATTATAACGTAACTCTCATCTTCAACTCTCGTTATCGTCTTCAACTCTCGTTATCCCCATACGTCACTTTTTCTTCATTTAACATTCATTTCTATCTTTAATGAAAATTGCATCATAACAGCTCTAATATGTGTATCGTAATAAAATAAAAATACTTAAATTTATGAAAAAAATGGAGATTCTTATTTGATTAGAATTTTTTTTTTAATAATTTAAGAGTTTCTTATAGTCTAGAGTCTTCCTAAAGACAAGTTTCGGAATTTTATGATCCACCAAATCCAGACTAGAAATCATAAGCAAATATAAATTCAAACAATATCACCCATTAACTCTTGATTTTTTTTCCCGATGAAAAGAGGTGGATTTTAACTTTCTTCTTTCTTTCTTTGGGTAAAAAATAACAAGAAATTATTTTTATTTCAAAAAAAAATTTTTTTTCACTGCTTACATTATTTTTTTCCATATTTCAATAGACTTTCTCATAAGTAAATTGTATTTTCAGTTTAAAAAATTTCCCCATGTTTTCTCTTTAATGATAATAATATTGAGTCCAGAAATGGGAGACGAAAAGAAAAAAACAGAGGCTTATTTTCTGCTTATCTTATTACT